AGACAATATTTCAAGGCTATTTCTGTATCTTAATTATGACTGTCTATTATCTATATGCCTCTGTCTAGTAGACTGCATGTTTTAGAAACTACTCTGTGTTTACAGGTGGAGAAATTTGGAGAAATGGTGGAGTCTCTCAGCAAGGAATGGAGTAGCCATAGTCCTGGTCTGGAGTATGAAAGAGCTTTCCTGGCTGTCTCTGTGAGGTTATTTAAGGACCTTGTAAAAAAAATTCCTCCTGTGGCTACCTCAGCTTTACTTGCAGGGCTAATCAATGGAAATACCCAAGTGAGAGCCCATATTGAAGAGCGTGGTGGCTGGGTGAGTTAAGGTTCAGTGTTGTTTTGCATTTGTGTTGATTGTGTTTGAAGTTTACTGTTGATTAGAATATCTAATCCAACATGCACATGATAGTGAGTAAACTCCCTGCCCCATTATGTTGGTTGGTGTGTCTCCATAATTCCAGTACATTATACTCCTTGTCTCAGTTCTGTCAGATCCTCACAAGAAGTTTATTAGGTAAGTCATTTGGTTTTTTAATTTCACCTTTCCCCACTGACTTGCTTTTTTGTTTTAATTTTAGGAGAACCTTGAAAACTGAAGGGGATTTTAAAAAGCTCCTAGATCCTCACTTCCAAGAAAAGAAGCTTTGCTATACTTTGCCACTTAGGTCTGGAAAGAGTACAGTGGAGTTGCACAGCAGTGGTGTGTTCAGCCCTCAAAAAATTAAAATGAGAACTAAACAAAAGTCAGTGGTGGAAGGCTGTGGGGTGGGTGGGAAGAAGAGCTAGGTTCTAGCCAATTAGTCACACCAGGTCACAGCCCAGAAGGTTAGTACACCTTCCACCTTCCACATTTGTACACATTCCACCATAATACTCCAATTGCAATTGCCTGGCTTACTGGAGAAATACTATCACTGCCTTTTCCTATTTGCTATTTCCAAAACAGAACCCTTCTGTTGTCAAAACGCAAGGTTTGGATTCAACTTGACACAGACATATATTGAATATTGGGGAAATGTGATGTCCCTGAAACTGAGGATCTGGAGGACAGGACCACAAATACCAGCTCTGTTCAGTAGGTGGACTGACTGCGTCAATAGGTGGAAATTCCTCCAACTGTAAAAATAGAAGTAACTTTCTCATAAGAAATAACATTGTAAAGCACTAAGTATCTGGATTTAAGCACTTTAGTGCTTAAGGAAACTCACCAGTTATAATGCACCCTTAATCCAACGAATAATAGAGAAGCCAAGAGAATAATCAAGATCTCCCAGCGCAGAATGCCCCATGGACTACAGTTCCAATTTCTAAAACAAAAGGAAAAATAAAATTGCTTTGTAGGAAAATGAGTTACAAACTAAGGTCCTACAACTGTTAATAATTCATGTAAGCTTTAAATAAGGAAACAAGTTCTGAATAAATTCTGCATATGAAAAAACAACCTTTTAAAGAAACCTAGCATACTTTTTTAAAAAGATGATGCATCCATGTATCACCACAACTTTCATAATATAGCAGGGGTCCCCAGATCTGTTGAAGCTGTGGACACTTTTGGAGCATTGAGCAAGATTAGTGTGTACCTCTGACCTGGATGGCCCAGACTAGCCTGATTTTGGAAGCTAAACAGGGTCACCCTGGTTAGTACTTTGGTGGGAGACTATTGAGCAAGACCAGAGTAACAATGCAGAAGCAGGCAGTGGCAAATTACCACTTCATCAAAAGCCCCTTGAGGGGTCAGCGTAAGTTGGCTGTGACTTGACAGCACTTTATATATGCACTGGGTGCCACCAGAAAGTGGATGCTGAGAGTTTCCAAGCCAACCATCCTCCTGTGTAGCATCGGGATGTGTTACAGCAGCCCGTATGGCTTATTTTTTCCAGTCCTGCTTATGCCTGTGTCTTTCAAGTTTTCTGTAAGCCTCAAATTTGCAAACAGAGTAAACTATGCATGTCATGTTGTAGAAGGATCATGAGCTAAGAATGCTGAGCCAAAGCTTGAGGAAATTGACTGAAAGCTTATACCCAGAATAAAACTTTGTTGGTTGTAAAAGTGTCACTGGACTCATTCTGCTGCTTCAGACCAACACGGCTACCCACCAGAAATTAAATTGTATTACTTGCACTGCAAACTGTGAAGATTACATAAAGAACATTAGACCAGGCAAGAAGATTAATAATTCATATACAGGCCAATGGAGTGCCCCTAAAAGGTCTACAAGCAAGCATCAAAGTCAGTTTCCTTCTGTGGTTGCCCCCAGCACGGTCATTCAGAGGTTTATTGCCTCTGGATGTTGAGGTTCCATGTGGTCATTATGTTATCTATTTCCTCTATAGGTTTGCCAGCTCCAGCTTGGGAAATACCTGGAGATTTTGAGGATGGAGCCTGAGGAGTGCAGGCTTGGGGGGAGGGGAGGGAACTCAGTGGAGTATAGTGCCATAGAGTTCAACTTCCAAGGCAGCCATTTTCTCCAGATGGACTGATCCCTGTTGCCTGGAGCTAAATGGTAATCCCAGGAGACCTCCAGCCACTAACTAGAAGTTGGTGACCCTATATCAACTGCATAAGAAAAGATAAAATTCAAAATGACCTTGTTAGGGAAGGAAGCAGGACTGAAACTAACCAAACAAAATCCAACAGAGACGAATGTAGAAGAAGATGAAACTGGATTTATACCCCACCCTTCACTCAGAGTGGCTTACAAACTCCTTTCCCTTCCCCTCCCCACAACAGACACCCTGTGAGGTAGGTGGGGCTGAGAGAGCTCTGACAGAAACTGCTCTTTTGAGAACAGCTCTGACAGAACTATGGCTTGCCCAAGGTCATCCAGGAGGTGCCAGTGGAGGAGGGGGGAATCAAACTCGGTTCTCCCAGATTAGAGTTGGAGCATTTAACCACGACACCAAACTGGCTGTAAATTTCTGCCCTTATGGCTACATAGTATAGTACAGACAAAAAGCATCTCCAGATTGCAGTCTATTGCAGGCTTAAAAATGAGCCAGGTGTAAGTGGCTACAAAAAAGGCTAATGCAACTTTAATCTGCATATTTGGGAAAATATCCAAGATATGAGAAATAGTGCTTCCACTCTACACCATGCTAATCAGACCTCATTTGGAGTACAGTATCCAGTTCCATGAGCTACAGAAGAGGGCAATAAACATGGTCAGGGTGGGGTCTGGAAAACAAATCAAATGAGGAAAGGTGGAAGGAACTGGGTATATTTAGCCTGAACAAAAGAAAACTGAGAGGAGACATGGTTTTCATATAGAGGCAAGCTTGTCTTGTTTCCTCATTGCTTCTGTGGCTACAAGGCCAGGCCAATGGCTTTTTGTGCCCTAAGGCAGCTGTGAGTAGTGTGCCTCTCCTTGCCACAGCTCAAGGGCACATAGCCACCAAGGTCCAGGCTGTTGTGCACCAGATAAGCAAGATGTTGCACTCCCTCACAAGGTGGGGGGTGCAGAACCCAGCAGCAGTAGAGCTGGCAGCAGCCGTCTCTTCTTCCCTCTTGGGGTGTGGGGGGGGAGGCAGGCTGGGTAAGCCACCACAGCCTGAGTGCCCACAGACTTGGGCTGGCAAGGTGCTGCCTCTACCCCATAATGCACATGGGTACAGAGGCCAGTGGCAACAGAGCTGACAGCTGCCTGCTCTTCCATCCCTCCTTCCTCCTTTATGGGAAGTGGCAGAGGGAGGCAGGCCCCAGTAGTAGTACCAGCACCCACTGTGCTATGCAACTGGGAGGAGCCGCTCAGGGTCAATGCTTGTGACTGGCAAGTCTCTTCTAGTGCCTCTGGCACCTTGCCTAATTGGCAGGCCAGCTGTTTTAAGCTGCTGATATAGCATAGTAGCAACAGGGCTTCCACCTGACAGGTCTCCCCACAATTTCCCTACCTGAGGTCCCCACAAGCAGCCATTCCTCCCCCCCCCCCCCCACGCCCCAGTTTACTTTTTCTGATAACGCCTGAGAACACTTTTTTTCCTATAGGGAGGTGACAACTGTAAGTGTACTCCATTGCCTCCATAGCTGGTTTCCTGACTCTATGTAAATAAATGCTTATTGCTTGTCCTAATTTTTTTAACAATATGCCATCTTATTCTTTAAAAAAAAATCACTTTAAAATCATCATACATTTGTTTTGCCAGAATTTGTGTTCCTGCTTGTTTTTCTCATTTAAACAAGACTTCCACTTTTTAAAGATGGAATGTTACCTTCTATGGTGGTTTTGACTTTGCTTGTTAACTCCATGCTGGCCTCATCTAGATTATTAAACACACAGTTTGTAATCATTATGAAGGGACTTGACCCTCTGTACTCTCCTTTTGAGCTTCCTTTTAACTAATCCCCTCAATTTTTAGGTATTTCCTCTTCTGAAATTATGGTAATATGAGACTTTTGGTGTAACTACTCAAGACCAAGTCCAGGGTTGCTTCCTGTAGTTAACTCCATGACTTACTGCTCAAAATCCCAATCATTTATGGTATGCATTTTTATCTAGCTTTTCTCTCCTTACAAAAAATACATCGCAATTTAAATAATATAAACAAACCACAGTATAAAGAACAAACTAAAAACAAAAGGTAGTACATAAAATATCCTGGGTTAGTGTCTGCTGAGTAAGTCCATCAAGGCTGTGGGCTAACAGCCAAAGGCCATGAGCCCTTGACTCCTAAAAGAGACAAGCTGGAACCCGCAAGGACTTGTGGGACAGATTTCCCTTTCCCCCACTATTTCCTTCCTTGAAAGCCCTCCCAGCTTCTTTCCCTCTCCTGCCTCCTCTCCTTCCCATCCACCAACCACCCAACCTTTATCTTCTCCCATCTTCAGTTTTTTTGCTCCGCATCTCAGCATTCTCTACCCAGTAAAGCTATGGCCCAGTTGTGCAGTGCTAGTTGCCAGGGCAGGCCCAGTTGCATAGTGGGAAAACTGAAAGAACTTGCAAAGGGGACCCATTTTCCCTGTCTCATGATGACAGACTCTCGTCTTCCCCCACTATTTCTTCTTTCTCTCCACCTGACAGCCTCCATATCCTCAACCTTCTCTGCTTCCTTCTCTCTTTCCCACCCACATTTATCTGCCCCTCCACCTTCAGCGATATATATATATTATTTATTTGCATGATTTATAGCCCGCCTTTTTCCACAATGGGGACTCAAAGCACCTATTTCATTCTAGTCTCCTCCATTTTATCCCCAGGAAGAAATTGTAAGCATAGGTGGAAGGGCAGTCAAAAACCCTGGAAAAGGGCCCCTTCCTCAGCCCACCCTTGCCCCACCCCAAAGGATGGAAGGGAGACTAAGAGGCAGTCTGTCTGACCCTGCTCCTCCCTACCAGAGAGGGATGGAAGGAAAGAGGAAGAGGCGGCCTGTTAAAGCAACTGGCTAGATGCTGCTTTCCTCACCTCAGGCGAGTCAGGTGTTGCCTACCCTGTCTTGCGCAGGCCGGGCACTGCCTCCCTCACCTTGGCCAGGCTGTCTGGGTGCCTCTCTCACCTTGGGTGGGGCTCAGTGGGGCTGAGCTGGGCACCACCCTCTGGCTCATCTCACACAGGGGTTGGCTGAGCACTGCCCTCTGCCTCGCTGGGCTCCGCCTCCCCTGGCTGACTGGACACCACCTCTCCCGCCTTGTTCAGGGCTTGGATAGGTCAGGCTCAGTTTGGTGTAGTGGTTAAGTGCGCGGACTGTAATCTGGGAGAACCAGGTTTGATTCTCCACTCCTCCACTTGCACCTGCTGGATGA